AGTTTATAGTAATTTTATATGTTTTTTTTATAATTTTATATATATAAAAATTTACAAGCAAAATAGTGTGACAAATCATGCGACTGATATATTATATATATATCCTATATAACTTTGTACTATTTTTTTTTTTATATATATAAAATGGTGCCTGTATGTCGTAAATACTTATATAGGATCTTTGCTAACAAAATGAGGTTCCGAGGCTATGTTGATTTTGTGAATAATAATTAAATTTGCCAACTATCTAGCAATCCAATTTGAATGAATTTTTTTTTATTTTGTAAATCTCAATAGAATCTATAAATTAAAAAAAAATTCATTCAAATTGAATAACTAGATAGCCAGCAAATTTAATTTCATTTTGTTAACAAAGATCCCATATATTATAAAACAGTGTTTGTATTATACGTCAGCATGTACAACATAAAAATTACAAAGAATTATCATCCAATCAGATGTCAAGAATTGCCAACTCCACTTAACATGCTAGTAAACCATACTCTACGACGCATGTCCTGTCAGAAAGAACTGACACAACAAAATAACATGAAAATGCAGTCCAATCAGATTCATGAATTCGGACACCCTTTCACTTGCCATATAACCATGCACTTCGTTCCTGGTATATTAAAGGTTTAACGCCAATTGGCAAATATAACTAAGTCACAAATTTAATTTCTTTGTTTTCATAACATGAAGTTTTTAATGGCTTTTTTTTGTAAATTTCATAAATAAAATTTTATAAAATTTATTAAAATATGTAAAAATTTTTGACATTGCCAATAAAATGAAAAGCCTCTAAAAGTTGCAAATATCAAAAAAAAAAAAAAAAGAAGTCAATTAAGTACAGAAAAATGTCAGTTCAGAATTCACTGGTTTTAGGCCTTCATCGATATTGGGCTATATTAAATGAAAGATTATATAGAATAGTTGAATTTGTTGACATATGAGTAAGGATTAAGAGATGGTAAGCATCTCAATTTTTTTGAGACTTTCTTATTTTTATTTTAATGTTAAAGACAATTGACTCTCCCTGACATTTTTTGACCCATTGATGAGAACGCCACTGAAATTTTGACTTATTCTAATATGAAATTTTAACGCTTGTAAGATTTAGTGCTTTAATGTTTATAGGAGTTAATTAATGCTTATAAGTTAACTAGATCAATTTTTTTAACTTTTTTTAAAATTATCTGTAAATTTTTTATATTTTTTTTTAAATCAATATTTTAACTATATATCGGTAATTAGATTTAGGCCGTTCTCAAGCACCTCACTCAATGGATCGGACGTAAATTTTTAATTAGTCGGAAATTAAATCAATCCATCAAGTGAATTACCAATTCGATCAACAAATCAGCGAGATACAAACCACCTTTTTTCTCCAAAAATTTACCATTGATAAAGATCGCTCAAGCACTACTTTTACATTTTAACATATCGAACATAATAAACAATGAATTCACAACAAATTTCTAACCGGTCTAAAAAAATAGCCACTTTATTTTTAATGCTCGAAGCTTTTAAACCAAATAATCGACACCTTGATATGAAAGTAATTAATACAACTCATCTTTTAACATTTAATCAAACCGTAATGAATACTGTTATTCCATTTTTCGCTCATATAAACTTTATAAATTTTTTTTACTTCTTGTTGCTACAAAGCAACCTTCGCTAATGATTCCATAAGTTGTTGCTGTTGCAACAAAAGGTTAATATTGGTAATATCATTAAAGCAGAAGATTCGGTAGTCGGTTGAGCAGAATTTTTTTTATTGGGTTTTTTAGACGTTTTAGGCGGCTTAACGAAAATCATGAAAAATAGAAAAAGAGTATGCTCAAGCATTTAATTCCATAAATATCACCATTGACTGTGATGCTTGAGAGTCATTACGATCATTCTTTAATCAATTGATTTAGATGCTTGAGAACGGCCTTAGTCAGTTTACTAAAACCATTATACGGGTGTTTGATAAGTCCCTAGACAAGACTTTTTTCAATTACTATTCATTAAATGTTATTATTATATAAAAAAAATATGTAATAATTAGAATCATTATAATCTTTTATATAATAAGAGATAATACTAGTGGAGATATAAAAAAGGTCCTGTAATCATTAGCGATTTTTTGTCATGTTATTATCATTATTGACATCTCTATTAGCTCGGTATGCTCTTTTATTTCAAGAAAGGAGTATAGATCGTTATGCAATATGAATTTTTTTTATTATCTCATTGTCGTTATTGCATTATTTTGATGTATTTTCGTATATCATCTTACAGGGTACTATAAGCCTCGATAGTAAAATTTTCATCCGATTTGAACGTTGATACAGGGCCACCGCGAAGGTCTGGACAATAAAGTCATCCGCCCCGGACAATTAACTATAACTAAAGACCATTTAATTTAACTTCTTTAAATACACCATCATAGTCCAATCTACAATAGATTGCCCAATGATATGTATTATCAAAATGAAAGAAATTATTTTATATCAAAACCTGACCTACATAAAAACAATGGTCTACCAAAAGACATTTAATTTTTTAATTAGAGATGTAGTTTTACACTATTAATAAAATATTTAAAAAAATTATTTTTCGAGAGAATACAAAATTTTCAGACATTATATTATTATTATTGATACGATTCAACAAGTTGACCTGAGTCGATTTGAGATTTAATTTATGTAAGTACACTCTATTATTCATTAGTCAAATTTTACTCATTGACTCAAAATAACTCATTATGACTCGATTCGGGGTTTCACAATTTTAAATTATGTGATTTAAACTTTTTGCAAATCAATCATTGTGAAACAAGAAAATTTGTACATAATATTTAGGATAAACATTTTGCCCAGATCCTGATAGTGCATCATGATTCACTAACGTTAACAAATGACACCTTATTACAATAAAGGATACTATAAAAATAGCAGCGCAGAAATTTACGGAGATATGCGGAAGGACGTTCATGGAAAATATATGATGTGAAATACTTTTTGGTGAAATAGTCAACATTCCAAAGGGATTTGCAAGTAAAAAAAAACTATATATAATATATATTACTTCACGATTCTTTAAAATACCGTACAATAATAACAATCAATAATAATGCGAAACTCGTTAAACCATCTTGGTTTGGTTTTGTTTTCGTTCTTATCAATAGTTGAATGTGCTGATTTAAAGGTTCAGCCATTTAATTTCACACCCTCTTTAAGCCCACAAATTTACGTAACAATTTTCTTTATCCCATTTTTCGTATTCATTTTTCTCTCTTTCAAACCCGCAACCAGCAAACTTCATATTTGTATACTTTATCTTATAATCTTAATCCAAATTTTGATTCCTTTACTATATCATGGAAGATATCCAGCACCATTCAATTTTCAAATATCAGTATACGCAATTCTTTTCGCACTCAAAATGCTAATGTGGATGAAAAAAAATCAATATCTTAATGAAAATCCGTCTTTCATTAGTTCATCGTCCACATGCACTAACTATCCCTGATAAAAATAATTATCAAGGATACATAGAATCTATCACACACAAAGAACTGAATCTATATATTATTAAACGAACGATTCTAATGTTTGGAAAGTTTTTGTTCTTTGACTTTTTGATAGAATTCTTGCTTGATAATGAACCAGAAATTCCAGAAAGGCTTTATATATTACGAATTTTTGATTATTTTGTAACTGGACATCAGATTATATCATTATACAACTTCTTTTATTGCAATGTTTATTTGCTTCTTACATATGTTACCTTTTCTTTCGGGTGGGATGTCCAGATAATTTTATTTGGTATAATTTTAAATCCTTTATTATTTATAAAAAATAATGGGAAACAAAGTGAAGAAAACAAATCATATATAACACGTATTAAAGAATGGTTAATTCTTACGACATATATAACACGTATTAAAGAATGGTTAATTCTTACGATATTCCATACAAAACCCCTGGTCGATAAACCATTTTTATCAACAAGCCCTAGAGATTTTTGGTCAAATCGATGGCATTCTATATATCGAGAATGTTTTCGTGAACTTTTCTATTATCCTGTTCGAAATTTTTTTAAATTCAATAGGAATATTGGGTATATTCTCGGAATACTTTTGGTTTATTTTATTAGTGGAATTCTTCATGATTATATATATTTCATCTCTTTTGCTTATGCCGAAAGTTATTCTACAGGTGATGTTACATTATTTTTTTTATTTCATGGATTATTTTTAATATTATGGGAACTTTTTGAAAGTAAAATATTAGGAAGAGGGAGGAACGTTAAAGATAGTTTGACAGTTAAGATTTTTAAAATTGTAATATTTTTATCAGTTTTATCATTGACCGCTCCATGGAATGCAGAACCTCTTATTCGTGTAAGGTATATTGAAGCTAATAATACCACAAGAATATTTTCAAAATTAGTAGAAAGGTACGAAAATTGGAAAATGTAGTATAAGTTTACATTATTAATGACTATTCAACAAAATGAATTACCATAGGGTTTAAAAATTCTTATATATATATATATATTGTTTTTAAATTAAGGTTATTATTTTATCAACCGTATTAATATTATCATATGTATACATATTGTCTAAAATAACGTGCTATTTTGGGAAATAAAAATTCTAAGCAAATATTGAAATAAGATTGTAGTATTATAGATTCAGAGAGTGACAAATTATGGCTATGTGCTAAGAAAAGAGACGAATTTGACAAAATAATAACAATTATAAAAAAAATCAATTTTCTTATGAATTTTTTATTCAAGTGTGGTAATAAATTTTCATGAAAAAATTTATCTATTATAATTATGAATTAATTTATCTATAGCCGTAGGCTACATGTAGCCATACTATTTTTTATAGAAAAATTATACAGCCTATTAACATTAGGGTTAGGATTAGAGTTAGGTTAGGTTAGGGTTAGGTTAGGGTTAGAGTTTTTTTTAGAGTAAAATTTCGAGAGGAGCATTTTTGCTTAGTTACACAACAGGGTTACCCTAGTAAAATTTTGAGTTATTGTAGAATTATTGAAATGGCTACAGAAAGTCACGGCTACAAATAAATTTTCCCTATAATTATTATTTTTTGACAAATTCGATTTTTCTCGGCGCCTAGCCCAAGTCAATATAATTCTGATAATAAACAGGGAATGTGAGAAAATGGGTAGAAGCATTTTTAAATTTATGAGTGTAAGTTTATAATAAAAATTGTCTAATTTTACTATAAACTTTGAGCTAAAGAAATTTTGAACTTAAATATATTGAAAATACAGCGCAGGGATCCTTAAATCAGCAAATAAAATACATATTTTTTAAAAGTTTATAAATAAAAAATTAAAACAGCCACAAACCAAATCTTTTTATGAAATAGTAAAATCAAACCTAAAGAATCAAACTACAGAGTTTATTTTTTAAATTAATTAATTAGTATTTAATAGTTATTTTTTTTTAAAGTTATCAATTTTATTAATTAAATTAAAATTTGTCGCTTTAATTTTGGCCAAAATTACTAATAATTTATTTAATTCTGCTCAAAATTATTAATAAAATTTTTTATTATTATAAAGAATATTAAATAAGCTAATCTTTTCTATACATACAGTATATATATATATATTTATTTATATTATTCGATTATATTATTTATTATTGTATAACATGTCTCAAAATTTGGCCGTTATATTTATGAGTGTCGATTTAAACCGTAATTACTTAAAACAAGTTTTTAAAATTTTGCAAATTTTGTATAAAATTTTATAAAAAGAGAGTTATGCCAATTTTAAACATGTAATTATATGTAAAATTTTATGCTCGACAAGTTTACTTAGAAAATAAAAATAGGTTGTTTCAGTATTCTCTATTTATAACCTTTTTTTTTTTTTTTACTAAGACAACCTATTTTTATTTTTTAAGTAAATTGCCGAGCATAAAATTTTACATATATTTACATGTTTAAAATTAGTATAACTTTTCTTCTTACAAAATTTTATTAGCAAAATGTGCTATATTTGCAAAATTTTAAAAAATTGTTAAAGTGATTTTATTTTACTATTTTCAATGTATTAAGTTCGAAATTTAAAAAAAGTTAATATGTAGTAAAAAGGACTAAGTTTATAGTAAATTTATATGTTTTTATTAGAACTTTTATTGTAATTTATCATTTGATGTGACATCTTCCCTGACTGATAATAAAAATAATAGATAATGCGGATGTTTATTATTATATTTAATGCCTTTAAAGAAAGTAATAATTGATACTCGGCAAAAATTCATAAAAATTGGTATGCACAAGGACTTCGGTAGATAATGATTTTTTTGACAAATGAATAAGTTTATTACTATATATTTTAGTCAAAGATCACAAGAACGCTTCTTTGTGGAATTATCTATACTTTTTATTCACCCAGTATAACATGAATCCTTTATAATGATAGACCATAATACAGTATATAAGAATATATATATATATAGTATATCAAAACTCGTAGATATGGAAGTTCAAAAGTTTTTTGGCACATTTTAGATATGTCTTTTTTGTATTAATGTAAAATATCAATTTTTTATATATCGATATACTGTCAAACCTTCTTATAGTCACTCCATATAATAATATCATATAAATTTTTTTTATAAGCACATCAAAAATTCCCAACGACGTAATTGTGGAGAGTATTGGTATAGCATAAATAAAAATGAAGATTAAGCGGTGCTCAAATTTGTGTATTTACGTATTTAGTTATTTATTTTTATAATTTTTTTAGCTTTTACAATATTGTACTGTAATCCTGCGTCAAACAAGCACAAAACTTGTATTGTGTCAGCATCAAGTAGTAGTAGCTGCAATTCAGAAGGTTAGAAGAATCTCGACATTTTTACAGCATCTCTATGTACTGTAACGTGTAATACTAAAATAATAATATCAGAATTTGAAATGAGTAATGCCAAGAGAAAACGGGTTTCTCTTGGTATTCTTGGGTATTACTCATTTTTAAATTTCAATACTAACAACTAATATTTAGTATTACGTTACAGATTCACAAAAATGAACCTTGTAAATTCTAAAGAATAAATTTCACAAAATCCTTCAAATTATTTCTTTTGAAAAATGAATTCGAGATTGATTGACGATAATCAGATTCAGCAAGTTTGAATCAAGATTTAAATTCGTTCCGTGCTTCAGCAAGTTTGAATCAGAAAATGCAAGTAATGGTAACTATACATTACAATTTAACATTTGATAAATAACACAATGTAGGTTTATTTCGATTGATTCCTTTTTGCAACATTCATCATGACTATTAACCAGACATCAAAATTATGAGGCTTTGCCCAGCAAGATTTAAAGACTTAAACGGCTAAAATGACCTCTGCAAAGATCGTGCGTACTGTACGTACGTTGGAACACGAATTGAGAATTCTTAAAATCATATTTAGAACAGATCGACATTGCAAAATTTTGGATAAATTGAAACATAAACATTGTCTTGGCATATTTTAAACAACTTGCAGTATATTGTGCGGGTGAAATTGGAATCAATAGGTGTGAGGGAATACATATACGTATTACTGAGATTACGCAAAACGCCAATCATAACTTTTTAGGGGCCAAATTTCAAGTTCCAGGTTTTCACTCTCCCGCACTCATATCTTAAATTACCTGTTACAGGTAGGGATATGAAAAGTTCGGCCCGGTCCCTACTCGACTCAAAAGTCGAGTCTTTGTTAAATGCTCGGTCCCAAGCAGACTTGGGACTTCGACTCGCATCTGCACGTGCATCTAGTATATTTAAAAAATGCGCTTTTTTATGCTATATCTAAATATGTACTAAATGCACGTGCAGATGCGAGTCAAAGTCCCAAGTCTGTTTGGGACCGAGCATTTAACAAAGATTTGACTTTGATTCGAATCGGGACCGGGCCGGACTTTTCACATCCCTAGTTACAGGAGATCATCTTTCAACATACTGGTAGTTTTACGGGTATGTAGTAAGTGCAATTGTAAAAGCAAATGTAACGATAAATTATTATAAAAAATCTGGAGTTAATGTAGAAGAAATCCTATAGTAGGAAAATGAATTCTAAATTAAAACATTATAAATATATACAATATGTATTAAGTAAATTCTGCAACTCTTTGTTTTTTATTTTCTTTGTCTAACGCACTAAATTGATCCAATGCATCTCAGAATCGAATTTCGGTTTGACCATGCAACTCAAATCTGGTGCACAACATATGAATTCTGCCAAGGGAAAATGAGACTTTGTCTTTCAAGTTTATCGTTTATTATTTATCGGATTTAGCCCTTTAAAAATATGTTGGCCAGACTAAAGTTGTTAGACGAAACCATGTGATGATAATCATCACCTGTCATAAAATACCAAGACCTAAAAATTTAATCTAATTTTTATTAAGTTTTGATATGACATTTAGCATCACATGGTTTCGTTTAACAACTATAACTGACTCAGTCTAATTCAATAACATATACAATACTTGATCACATATCATATATATCATCAATCAGATCTTGAGTTAAAGAAGAGCTTGGCATAAACTTAATTCATGTTGAATTTTGGCTTGTTATATTTTTTTGAATGAACTATAATTGACTAATTAGCATGACTGCGCTAAAAAAAAATACCAAATCCTTAGTTTATTAATTCTTAGTAACACTGCGTCCAGCTCATTTTTCCAATAAGACAATTGTTAGTAACCTTAAATTTATTATTGTTGTACTAATATAACATATTTTATACGTATATAGAATTTTTATAATGATTACAAGTTACACATAATCGTACAAACAAAGCGACACTGGTTTTTTTGTTTATTGTTTACCACAAATTTGCTATACATGGCCAACAAACGAGCGCTGCTTTATTTTTTGTTTTCCGTAAAACTTAAGTTTCTTTTCACTTAAAATACAGGTTCCAGTTATTCTGCATTGAGAGTAAAATCGGTATTGCTAATTTCTGTAAACCACATGTCTTTAACGAAAGATCCCGTTTATGGTGTATTTCATATATTTCAAAAAATGTTTTAAAATGTTTTATTAATTTATTAGTTGTTTAAAATTATTTAACATAATGTATCTTATTTATTTACCTTTGCACAGAAGAAAAAGAACATCAGTTGCAAGCTCTTAATCAAATTGATCCCGAGAAAACCTCGATCATTGTTAGTATTTTTCTTTTATTAATAAGTATTAAAGTCGATGTATTTAGGCTTTCTAAATTTGTAAACATTGTCTCGCTTTTAATTCTCAGAAACAACGGATGACAGCAAAAATATATTTCAAAGAAGGAAATTATTCAAAAGCAATAGACCTTTGGGAAAAAATTCTCAGAAATCCAAATCATACTTCCGAAGACAAACAAGATGCTTCTATATGGACTTTAAGAAATTTAGATAATAATGCAATAAAGTCACTGAATGATGCTCTTTGC